GCCCCGGGCTCTGGGGGAGCAAGCCAGCTGCTGTGCTCTTGGCACGGCCCTGCTGCCTTGCTGCTTCCTCCCTGCCGGCTCCGAGGGCGGCTGCAGCTCCCGGGCTGACCCTCTGCCCTGCCCGGGGCCGTGTTTGCTCCCGGGGATCCATTGCGAACAGCTTGTGAGAGGAGCAGGTGGCGGTTTCCGGAGGCAGGATGCAGGGAGCGAGCCGGCGCCGTGGTGGGACCAGGTTGCGCCACAGCTTGCTGCGGGCCAGCCTGGGGGGCCAGGACAGCTGCTGTGCAGGCAGGGGTGGGGGGGCGGCCCAGCAGCCGCTGGGCTTGGCTCGGCACACCTGGATGGCCGCAACGGACGTCCGGTTAGCTCAGGGCAGGGATGCACCAGCTGTGCGGGGCTGGGGACGCTGTGACCCTGCGCTGGCACAAGGGCTGCTCAGAGTCATCGGTCCCTTCCTCAAGGCCCGGAGCAACAATGCTTTGGGAAGGAGAGGAGCGGTGCAGGGGGCTGGAGGGGGGAGCTGGGGCCCGCGAGCACTCACGCTCCTGTGTCCCATCCTGGAGCAGCGCAGTCACCCCGGGGTGCCCAGGACGTGCATGCAGCACAGTGTCCCCACAGCCCCGGGATACAGAGGGTGCTCACCCTGGCTGCACTGGAGAGCAAATGGCATGTCCCCCCTGGCGCATCCCCCGCAGCCCCTGGGGACGCTCGCTCCCTGCCCTGGCCAGCCGAGGCTGTTTTCCCAGGCTCTAGTTTTGCCCTTTCCCTGAGCGCAGCCAAGTCCTTTCCCAGCTGCCTCATCTCATCTCTTCCTACCATGGCCCCACGGTGCAGGTCTGCCACGCTGTGCCCGACGGCTCCTTTCTACGACCGGCAAAAGCCCTGAAGTGTGATGAGAGAGGAGCAGCTCTGCTCTACACCGAGACACATCCCCTGAGCCCTGGCCAGGGACAGCTATAGTGGAACATGTTCCCGTCCCACTGGGCATCGCCTCTTCTTGCAGTCACAGCTCAGGGCTGAATCCCCATCCCCAGCACCCCAGGGCCACTGCAGCCTCTTGCTTTTAGACCACATCAACCTCCCCGCGCCAGGAAAAACTCCTGGCTATGCAGGCAGCAGCCTGTGCCCTCCCAGTGCTGCACCGGGACGATGGCCTGAGCCACTGGCAGGGCAGGACCCATCCCAGGGTGGGCATGGGGTGCCGGGCACTGCGGTCCCACTGCCTCTGTCCGAGGAAGTGGCCAGAGGGGAGCGACAATGTCAGGATGCGGGAAGTCGTCGGGGCTATTGAGTGCGTTTCCTCCCGCCCGCGGTTCTCACACGGGGCCACATTGTCTGCTGTGCCCGCGCGTGGAGTGCTAAATATAACCCCGTGCTGGGGACGGGCCCGGGGGAGGAAGGGAGCTGTTTGGGGTTTGCTTTTCCTTCGTTGTGCGCTGTTGGCAGTGGATTGTACCTGGTTTGGTGTTGCCTCGATGGTGGGTGCTGTGGGCAGGCGGTGCCGGGGCTCAGGATCCATGCCTGGCCCCGGAGGATGCTCCTGCCTGGGCCAACTCCCCCTGAGGGGCTGCAGGAAACGGGGTGCTGGGGGGCTGCAGGCAGAGCCCTGGGCACAGACAGGGCCCCAGCGGGACGGGGGGGACCATGCCGTGGCCCTGGCTGGCATCCCCCTGCCCAGCCCTCTGCCCTTCCTCCCCTCTCAGCTGCACTTTTGCTCCCGCCACGGCTCTTCCTGTGAGCGGGTCGGATTTAGACACTTGCTATTTTCTGTACGTTGGGAAAGCTTGAAAATAAACTCCTTGGTGCTCGGCCAGCACCTCGGGCAGAGCCTTGCGGGCGAGACACGCTGTGGCAGCCCTCATGGCTCCTCTCCCCCAGCCCAGGGCAGGATAGTGCAGGGGGAGCCCAGCACGGACGGGTCCTAACTGGGAGGAGGGCAGGAACCTCCCTGCAAACCTGTGGCTGTGGGGCAGAGTCACTGGCGCAGGCTCCTGGGGGCGGTGGCTGGCATTAGACCAACCCGAACCTCTGGTGAGCAGCAGAGGGGGTGCACAGCGATGCTGGCCATGCACCCAAGGGACACCCCACGCCTGTGCACCCCCAGCCTCAGGCTGTTGACGGTCAGGTGCACATCCATCTGTCCACCTCTCTCCCTCTTCCTTTTGCTCCTTTGGCCACATCACATCCCTCTCTGGGCACTTGCTTTCTTCCAGGAGCTGAGGATGTGGGAGCAGCTCCACGGTGCTGCCTGCACATTGCTGAGGAAGGCAGCCTGGCTCCTGCGCCACGGCACAGTGCAGGCAGGTGGCTCTTGCTTGCCAAATTAGTTCTGGGGGGGCTGGAAAGTACATCCAGCCTTGGATTGGGATAAATCCCACAGAGCTTTTGGGGGGGGGTGTGTGTGTGTGTGTACAAAAGCTGCCCTCCCCCAAAACCCATGCCGAGGGCAATGTCAGCGAGGGGCTCACAGCCTGTGAGTGGCCATGGGAACAGCCCCACGGTGCTCGCACCCCATGGCCATACCCAGGGAGCTCCTGCCATCCTGGCTGGGTGGCTGTGGTGGGTCCCGGTGCCCGCTCATCACAGCACATACTCAGGGCTGTGCTCGCTGCCCGTTATCCCAGAGCTGGACCTGGAGCTGGGTCTCGGGGGTGCCCACGGTGAGCCCCTCACCGCAGCCCCCAGGCTGCCTGTGCCACCGCTGGGCTCAGCATCATGGTACAGGGTCAGGCACTGGGGCAGTGAGTGCCATTTCCAGAAAGAGACCGGAGGGGCCTGTTTACTCAGGAGGGAGTGCGGAGGTGTGAGAAAGGCTGTTAGTGTCCGGCTGGCCGCTATCCGTCCCCAGGCTGTGCCAAAGGGCTTCGCCAGGCCAGCCCGCGCCCTTATCAGCTGCAAACTTTTATTTGCCTAAGGGCCGCCCGCCTGCTTTCTGGGGGGCTGCTGCCAGCACCGTCCCCCACTGCCGCCCCCTCCTCGGCCCTGCCACGCAGGTGAGCCCCTCGCTGTTGTTCTTGGCGTGTGCTGCGGGCAGGTCCCGGCGGCGTGGGGTCATGCCGGCTGCCCCGAGCCACCTTGTCACAACACAGGAACAATAGCAGGGCCGGAGCTGTGTTTGCGCAGCACCCACGGCCAGGCACCGTGTCCAGGCAAGGGGGCTCTCGGCTGTCTTGTTTTTCACCTTGCAGGGCCGTTCGGAAAAGCGTGATGCTCCCCTGCTGCCAACAAAAATATCAGCCCAGGAGAGGGGAGGCGAGCGGGGGAGTGCTGCCGGCGGGTAAACACGCGGCGCGGCTGCACCGTTACCTTTCACACGGGCATTTCCTCCCAGCCGAGCATGCCGGGCTGCTCTCCCCAGAAAACTGCAGCACTACGGGGCTTTGCAGCTCTGCTGATGCCTGGTGAGCACTGAGCTGTGGTCCCCCATTGCACTGGGGTGCCCGGGGGGGGGTCCCCACCAGGGAACAGTGGGAGCAGGGCAGGGTCCCTCCAGAGATGGAGGGAGCAGGGCAGGGTCCCTCCGGGGGGAATCTGCACCAGCATCCTCATGGAGGGCACAGGGGAGGGCTGAGAGCTAGTAGTGTGCACACTAGACCCCCACCCCAGGGGATTTTTGCCTCCCTCATCCCCAGCAGGGAGGGGAGTCAAGGGCAGGCTCGGCTGCCCGCCCAGGCTCTGCACCGAGGGCAGCACAGCCGGGTGCCTCCCTCTCCGCTTCCTCCAGTGGCCGATGGCAGCGATATCGCCCCGTATCACCCATATTTCATTTTCTCCAGGGTATTTTTAGCCCGTCCCACCCTCGCTGAAGAGGCCCTCAGCAGAGAGCAGGCTCTGCCCTGGGCTGGCTTGGCTGGAGAAACTAAACAACAGCCCCAGCCACATTGTGTGCCTTTATCTGCAGCTCATTTCCACCTATTATGCAGCTGTGAGCGGCTCCACAGCCTCCGCTGGGTTTATCTGTGGCAAAGCCTAGGCAGAGAGGCTGGCTGCGGGGTCGAGCTCTGCTTTGAGCCACCCAGAGCCTGTGCCACGATGGCCCTGTGACAGCCCCGGCCTGAAGCTGGGCTGAAGGGGACAGGACACTATAGCAGAGAGCGTTGTGCTTTCAGTGGGTGAGCAGCACAACTGGAGCTCAGAGGGTGCCCACACTCACCCCACCACCCATGGGACAGCAGCTTCCCTCTCCCTTGGCCCCAAACCCTCACCCACCCTCCCCGGGGCAGCTGGATGAAGCACAGTCACACCACACTTCACCTTTTTCATTCATTCAACTTTATTCAACAAGATGCAACACTGAGTCTGCCGGGGGAAAGGAAACAGCACTGAGGGCAGTGCCTCCATCCCACACTCGTGCCTCTGTCACACAGGACCCACAGTCCCTCAGTCACAGCAGGACTTCCCCTTTCACAACATCAGCAGGCTGGGGAAGTCCAGGCGACTGTTTTCATGGCAGCCATTGGTTCTTTGGTGTCCCCCCCAGCACCTCAGCCCACAGCAGGAGATGACTAGTGCAAAGTAATAAAACCAATAACCCCCCCAAACCAGCAGTTGCTAGGCTAATTCCTCCCCAAAAGCGCAGGCGCGAGGCTGCGTGGCCCAGGCTGGACACAGCTCCCCAGATCCCCTGCACAACTGCACCTTTAAGGCAGAAAGCTCCATGCTCAGGCCAGCAGGTTAAAAATAACTTAGAGACACACATCACACAGGAAAGGGTCCAGGGCCAGGAGGCGGGGGGGGAGGCTCGCACTCCTGGGGCACCCGAGCGGTGACCCTGCAGCCATCGGGATCAGCCAGTCACCACAGAGCCCCAGCTGTGAGCTGCCGCTGGCTTAACCCCCCCGTGCCTCAATGGGGAAGGGGCAGCTCCTGCAGCAAACCCTGGGCAGGAGCTGCTGGCCCCTCTGGCTCCTTGCCAGGGTCACAGGAACAGGACAGGGCTGGTGGCCAGGACCCGTCAGGCAGCGCTGCCCCAGCCCAGCTCCCCCCAGCCCTCCCAGGTTCAGCCTGCTCCGCATGGAGACTGGAGGCGAGCAGCTTCCCACGGCCACACGCCCAGCTCTCACGCCGGCGGGGGCTCCAGCAAGCTCCGGGGTCCGGCTGAGCCATGGCTCCCGACAGGCAGCAGGCTCTCGCTGCGGCCCTGGGGACAGCCTGTTCCCAGCTGCATGGTCCCAGGGATTTCTCCCTTTCCCACGGCGAAGCATGCAGGACATGCCGTCCCGGGGAACTTTCTGCAGTTTCCTTCCTTGCAGGGTCTGTGGAGAAAACAGGAGAGAGCGGAGGCTCCGCTCCAGGGCAGTGCTCAGCCCTGCTCCTGAGCATCACATCCCAGGGGCAGGCAGGTCTCCGCGGGCACAGCCTCTGGAGGGCGGCCTGTCCATATGGCACAGCACCAGGCAGGAGGCAGCTGCCTGCCCGTGGCCAGCACCTTTGCAGGCACGAGGGACCGAGGAAGGTCACCCCGGCCAGCCGGGGCCAGCCCGGCACTAGACATACTGCTTTTTGGAGGCTGAGCTCCCAGGACGGCTGCACAGCTTCTCCTCCGGGGCGGCGGCTTCAGCAGCCCTGGGGGCGTAGGGGTCCGACAGGGGCCTGCTGCCACTGCCCAGTGCCAGGTTCTCCTCGTTGTGGAAGTTGGCCCAGTTCTGCTCGCTGGAGAGCTTGTTGTAGGCCTGGTAGGGCGGTGTGTGGCTGTCGGCCATGGGCAGGAAAGGGTAGTGCTTGGGTGGGTAGGGACCCGAGACCATGTCATCAGCAAAGGTGTCCCGGCTCGGGACGGCCGGCACAGACACCTTCTTGACATTGCTAAGCAGGTTCTTGCAGCAGAGGTGGAAAAGCTCCAGGAGGTTCAGGATTAAGGAGATCAGGCCCATCACCAGCATGAAGATGATGAAGATGCTCTTCTCAGTGGGGCGGGAGATGAAGCAGTCCACCTGATGGGGGCAGGGGTCCCTCTTGCACACGTAGCGGGGCACCATGGAGAAGCCGTACAGGTACCACTGGCCAATGAGGAAGCCAGCCTCAAAGATGCTCTTGCAGATCACACTGATGATGTACGTCCACATCAGCGCCCCTCGAATCTTGAGCCGCCCATCCTCCGTCATATAGATCTTAGACATCTTCTTCTCCACGGCTGCCAGGGCCTGCTCGATCTTCGGGTCCTTGCTGTGGATAGCCCGAAGCTCGCTCTCCTGTTGCTTCAGCTTCTCCTCCTTCCGGGAGAGATAGACAACGTGGCCGAGGTAAATCAGGGTTGGGGTGCTGACAAAGAGGAACTGGAGCACCCAGTAGCGGATATGGGAGATGGGGAAGGCTTTATCATAGCAGACGTTGGTGCAGCCTGGCTGCTTGGTGTTGCACACGAAATCTGACTGCTCGTCCCCCCACACGGACTCCCCGGCCAAGCCCAGGATGAGGATGCGGAAGATGAAGAGCACGGTGAGCCAGATCTTCCCGATCACAGTTGAGTGCTCCTGGACTTGGTCCAACAGTTTCTCCAGGAAACCCCAGTCGCCCATCTTCTTGGGAGCCTCGTGCCTCTGCTGGCAGAGAGGGGAGGGGAGCCAAGTCAATTCTCTGCTTCCATGCTGGAGAGCACAGGGCAGATAGGGCTACCTAAACCCCAGGCTTTCTCGGGATATGACTGCTCTGCAGAGGGTCCCAGCAAACCCACCAAGGAGCATCCCACACCTGGGGGAGGGAGCCAGGCAGGATTTCTGAGCCCAGGAGTGTTCCTCCTACACCCCACTGCCCAGTGCGGAAATGTGGGGCTGGGGGAGAAGAGGCAGCGCAGGGATTCACCTCCCCCAGCAGCACCCAGCCCACAGCACCCACGACTCCCAGCTGTCCCGGCCTCCCAGGACACAGCCCACAGCTAAGGGCTCACTGGCCGGTGGTTTGGGGCTGCCCTGGGAGGTCAGGGCCACAGCACCCAGAGAGGGGGCACAGCAGGGGCTCACAGGAGCAGCCCAGATTTGCCTTTCTGACAGCCCGCTGCCCCGGCTTTACCGAAGGGCAGAGAACAGCAGGGTCATGAGAGGGAAAGCACAAACCCCTGGGGTACAGCAGCCACCCCAATGCTTATTCAGGGCTCCCCCCAAACTGAAGGGACGGTCGCCAGCCAGCTCCCTTGCTGTGGGGCGATAGCACCCCAGCCCCAACACGCTCCCCCTTGCCCAGGGCTTTCCCCGGCCTGGGGATCCCCAAGACCACTCACCGCACACAGACCCGATGCCACTCCGGGGACCCCGGGGTCTCTCAGCCTCGCCCCCGGCTGCCGGCGAGCCCAGCCCGCATCCCCCCGCGGGAGCTCAGCCCCGCAGCCCGGCTGGGAGAGAGGAAGCGGCCGCAGCCCTGGCTCCTAATTAACCTCTGCCAAGGGAGCAGGCAGAGGGGCCAGCTGGGCCGTTAAAGGGACACTCAGCCGCGGTGGGGCGAGGGGGGTGCCAGCGGTGGGGGTGCCCCCTGCCCCCAAGCACGGTGTCCCCGA